CCCATGCTGACAAGCTTCTGTGCTAGTAAGGGAAAGCGTAAATCGAAGCAAATCATTGCACCCGCTTGCCCTACTGGGGTCTCAAAGGGGGGGAGTATGGAATCGCCAGGCTCGCAGAAATTGCTTTCTTGTATCTTGGGGCCATCCGGAAGATTCATCTCGAGCATGTGCACCTTTTGGTAACGATACAGAACTTCACCCGTATCACTGATCCATATCAATGTATTTCTCACGCGTTTACTCTTGATATCGGCGGGGGGCTCATGAATCCCCACTGCGATAGACAGCACGTATTCTTTCGCCTGTTCTTGTAACCCTTGGACAAATACTGACTGCTCTACAGATTGGCAGAGCTCAAAAGATCTTTTCGTGTTGGAGCATACGTAATCGGACGCTTCGGGGAAGAATATAGCCTACACAGCGTAAGAGATTGTCTGGCATAACCACCCTTGACGACATACTTGCGCACCCGCTTTCGAAGCTTGTCGGACCAGGTCTTTACTGATAGAGAGATTCTTTTGCATTGACTCGACAGAGCGAATCTGCGCTACAGCCTGTATAAAGTGCAGAGTGTAAGATAAACTAAATGATCAATTAAGTACCTATCTAACTTACAATTTTGACCATATTGAATATGAATTCTCGAGACTTTGGAAATCTGCAGTTAAAGGTTATGATTTAGCAACCGCTTTCGAGATGCCCTCGTCGTGAAATGAAGTATCGTAATTGTAGGCAATGATAGAATTTAAGCGCGTTATGATAAGTTTGATTTGCTGACAGCTCTGTTGTGGCGTCTGAGTTAGCTCATAACCTCAAAACACTGTTCAGGCGAAGCTTGCATGGTGCATATTCATGACGTCTGATATTACAATAGCATGCAGAATGTATGTGTAGACTAGCGGCTGCGATGACGCTGTAGTCAGAAATTTCATCCTCGCATGCCCTCCTAAAGTCGACTGTGACATAGGTGATGTCATCGACGTGGCATATCGCTGCCACAAAACTATGCATCGTTTTATATGGCTAATCCTCGTGTAGACGTCGCCGCTTGGGACGACCCATACAAGTCAGTGTACCCTAGGTGAGCGTCGGGTTCCAATGCAGCATCTGTCATATCGCCACCGATGGCGTTTTGTATGATTTAATCTTGGAGGTTTCTGCCTTATCATTCATTATCGGCAAGTAGCAGAATTTGATTGGAATATATCCTGTCGAATATTTAGCTACATGTTCTAAGACCGTTGTAATTCTAGTTCGTTTTCTTCACATAACTAGCAAAATAGCATTCATCATTCCAACCACCCTTATTGCATTCTTTCTGATTTCTCTACATGATCAGTTCGCTAAATATCATTGTAGTCGCGTCAAAGCTGACAGCTAGCACT